TCACCCCAGTTCTATTTTCTCCCAGTCAGTCTTCTAGCTTGACTGATGGGCTGTGTCTAGACTAGCAAGTTTTTCCGCAAAATCATGTGATTTTGCGGAAAAACTTGCCAGCTGTCTACACTGGCCATTTGAATTTCCGCAAGAACACTGACGATCTTACATGAGATCGTCAGTGTTCTTGCGGAAATTCAAATGGCCAGTGTAGACAGCTGGCAAGTTTTTCCGCAAAATCACATGATTTTGCGGAAAAACTTGCTAGTCTAGACACAGCCCATCAGTCAAGCTAGAAGACTGACTGGGAGAAAATAGAACTGGGGTGAAATCCTGGCCCTAGCAAGGTCAATAGGAGCTGTGCTGTTGATTTCAAATGGGCTATGGTTTCACTTCAGAGTTCTACTACTTTCCGCCAGTGACTTTGTGAGTTGGAAGAGTAGTCTGTCCTTTCCATGGCTCAGTTTCCCCACATGAAAATAGATAATCTTTCCTATAGTTCTTCTCACTTGGTACAGAGAACGTTGTTGCCTGTTGCATGAAGATGCTGTATTAGAGCTTTTTTCAGGGGAAAGTTCAGTTTTGTGACCTGTCACTACTATTATTTATTTTGAATAAAGTCCAATATTATAAAGCACATGGGCAATCAGGCAGTGGATAAAATATTTAGTATGGTGTTAACTCAGAACTGCTAGTATGGCATAGAATATGCAGTGTACATGCCAGAAACTGGGAGTGAACTCCCTTATCAGAAGCTTTATTAATTTTGTGTCAGATGACACTAATGCAGATGGAAATATGTCGTCTTGAATCTGGGATTTGTACTTCCAGCATGTTTTGTGTGAAATAATGTCAGAAATGCAGGTATGCCATTATAAATTCTTACATGGCTAGCACCACCTTTGGTAGGGGAAATGAATTGAAAAATCATGCTTAATGCATTTATAAAAATTATGGAAGGTTAGGGAAAAAACGTGTTACTGTTGGTTTGAATCGTTTTAAATTTGATTGTGTAAAGATATGTAATGGGTGTTTTCATTTAGAAGAGATGGTAATGAATTTTAGACATAATCACTATGACTTTCAATTCAGTTGATTTTTTTGTTGGATAAGCTGAAATCTCTTGCAAGACAAATAGGAATAATCTGACAATTAAAGTCCAGTTCTCTTTAAAACTGGAAGTTGGATGCAGTCTGTACGCCCCAAGAATGTATGCCAGAACCACATGTCACTCAGTGACATTATTGGCAGTAAATTTAACACAAACAAAAGGAAGTACTTCTTCACCCAACACCCAATCTACCTGTGGAGCTTCTTTCTAGGGGATGTTGTGAAGGCCAAAACTATAATGGGGGTTAAAAAAAGAATTAGGTATGTTTCTGGAGCATGGGCCCATCAATGGCTATTAGCGAAGATGATGAGGGATACAACCCCATGGTCCAGGTGTCCTTAGCCTCTAACTGCCAGAATCTAGAAGTAGATTACAGGGGTCAATCACTCAATGATTACCTATTATGTTCAGTATCAGAGGGGTAGCCGTGTTAGTCTGAATCTGCAAAAGCGACGAGGAGTCCTGTGGCACCTTATAGACTAACTGAATTGTAGGAGCATAAGCTTTCGTGGGCAAAGACCCACTTCGTCAGATGCATGTCAATCCCTCTGAAACACCTGGCATTGGCCATAAGGTACTTGGTTAGAGGTCCCATTAGTTTGACTCAGTATGGTTGTTCTTATACGAAATAAGTAACTGGGCTGGTACCAAACCTAATGGAAGTTCATATAGCAAAATGTTTTTTCTCAACTTAAACTCCCATGGATGTTGATGGATGGTGATAGTTTTAAAAAAGATTTAATCTTTAACTATTTCCATTCACTATTGGAACAAGGGCGCCATTTCGGGAGGCCAGCAGCCATGCAATTAGTGCATGCCTCACACCTGGCTGATGAACTCCCTTCAGGTGCAAGAGGCATGCACTAATTACATGGCTTTTTCCCCTCACTCCCTTAGCATCCAGGGAATGGGAAGCTGCATCCTGGAGCACACAGCTGCTGCCCCCTCTCCCGAAATGGCTCCCTTGTTCCAATAGCGAATGGAAATAGTTAAAGATTAAAATTGTTTTAAAAACTACCCCCTCCATCAGCATCGTCTGATTTAAAAATTGCCAGTGATAGAGAATCCATCACAACCCTAGGTAATTTTTTTACCAATGATTAATTATCCTCACAGTCAAAAATGTATACTCTATTTCCAGTTTGAATTTGTCTTGCTTCCACTTCCAGACATTGGATCATGTTAGACCTTTCTCTGCTAGATGAAAGAACCCATTGTTAAATATCCTCACATAATAGATACTTGTAAACAGCAATCAAGTCATGGCTTAATCTTCTCTTTGTTAAGCTTAAATAAATAGAAATCTTTCAGTCTATTGCTATCAGGCACAGTATCACTTTAGGAACTTGTGTACAGCTGATCATCTACCATAACACCTAAAAGATTTTTAGACTCACTGCTTCCCAGTGAGTCCCTATCACATATATGACCTACATTCTTTGTTCCTTGATGTACACATTTTCATTAAGCCATATTAAAATGCATATCACTCGCTTGCACCCAGTTTAATAAGTGATTCAGATTATGAGACTGTGTGTAAGCTGGTTACACTGACCAAGCCAGTCTCACTGCCCAGATTGAAAGGAGAGCTGTGATGAAGGGGAGAAACAGCCTGCCAACATGGCAGTAGTAGTTAAAGTGATGCCTTCGTGCCCAGTTTAGCCCTGCTCTCTTAGAGCTGCACCCAATGTCAGGCCTGGAAAAGGCAGAAAAGGAGAGATCCTGGCTCGGTGGAGGGCTGGCTAACAAACAGGCAGGAGCTAGCTGCCTATGCCTGAGAGGAAGGGTCACTAGCCAGCCGGCTGAAGCAGTCACCAGGGAGTCAATGCTATCAACCCAACCGAAGGAGATGTGGAGGAGATGTGGGAGATTCCAGCAACTCAGGTAACTGATGACTGAAGACCAGTGACACTGTGATGTTCACTTTAGGCAGCTCCTCACAAATAGCGACTTGATCCTGTTGTTCCTGGTGGAGGTGAAACCAAGCAGGTCTATGTGTTGTTTCTGCCCTCAGGAGCTAGCCCCATAGCTCTCAGTGGGTGTGATTCCTGGCCAGTGGGAACTGCAGAGCCAGCACATAGGGCAGGGTGGCAGTGCAGAAAGCCTCCCGTGTATTTCCTCTGCCAGGAGCAGCAGGCATAGGTCGCTGTTTGTAGGGAGCTGCCTGAGGTGAGTGCCCCAACATGCCAGATAATAAAGCTTTTAGTGTACTACTCACTTTGCAGGATTTTTTTAAAAAAATGATCCATCAGGTGTTGATTCATCAATACTCTTGAGCACATACTTAAACTTTAAACCCCAATATTTAAATATTTTGGAGGGAAATATGTCAGTGGAGAATTTTTGATCAGCTCTACTCAGGAACAAACACAATGATTGGATGGGCATAGAGGAGAGCTAAGCTTTCTCCCCTGGAGGTGGTCCTTTTGAGGCTGTCCGTGCTTCATCTATTTGGTACGTCAGTTATTCTCTGTCTTTATTATTCTGAATGCCAGTTTGCAAGTGAGATAATGTCACAGACAGCTTCTCAACCCTGCACTCTTTAGAAGGGAACCATTGGAGGGTTCACCTACAGAGCAGCTGGCGGGGGGAGTCATTTCCAGTTTGAGTAACTGTACGTATGTTAGCTCTGCTGTACCTAGCACCTAAAAACAGTGTGGCTGCCATAGCGTAGGTGGTGGCTCACACTTGTTATTCAATTACAGTCCCACTTAACCCACTGTCAAAAGGGCAAACTGAATTGCCAGGCCCCTGGGCAAGGTGGGGAGGGAGGCGGCTTTGCACTCCTGGGAGGGGCAGGGCCTTGTACGGAAAGGGCAGGGCTGGGGCCAGCCAGGCCTCAGCACCTCTCGGACTGCACCATGCTGCCCCCAGCCAGCCCTCAGTGCTGCCCAAAGTGAACTGCCTGGGATTCCAGCGGCGATTTAAAGAGGGCCCTTAGCTTCGGCTGCTGCTGCAGCAGTGGTAGCAACAGCCAGGAGCCCCAGGACCTTTTGAATTGCTAGATTCTGGTGCAGCTTCTCCCTTTGCCCACTCCCCACCATTGGCAGTCCTGCCCACTGGTTACATATTTGGGCACCAGCTGGTCATCCATGACCACGTGGCTATTTTTAGCATGCCAGCTCCAGCAAAAGTAGCTTGTACATCTGCTCAAACTGGGAATTGTACCTCCCATCTGTTGTGTAGACCTTGTGAAATGCTGCTGTATGTACAGGGTGGACAATAGGCTCTAGGCCTGTCAGTCTTGCACCATCACAAAATTTATCTAAAAAAGATGGTCTAGAATGTCATTTGAATTGGGCCTCCAAAGAAATCTTGTGTGAGGGATATCAGATTCATTGCTTTCAGCAAGCAATTCCAATTGTTTACATTGTTGGAAACCCCTCCCCATGGGGCTCCTGATATTTTCCTTTTTTGCATTCTCTATCTCAGAGGAACAACTTATGAGGCCAGAACAAAAGCAAAAGTTCAGAGACTTTTTAGTTTGTTGAAATGAGCCACCACTTAGCTGCAGTGAAATGTAATTTTTCTTTCTCTGTGGCAGTGACAGATGGTGGTTTAAACACTAAATCTGTCTCATTGCAGGTTATTCAGGATTCAAGTTCAGTGCTGATTGACTCAATTTCACTTGGACTGTACTGTACCTAGAGTAAGAATGCTTTAGTGGAACATTTATTTCTTTGCTGCCACTGTAGGAGCAGTCAACCCAAATAGAGCCTTTGAATGAAGATTGATTCTAACCATGGGATTTCTTCCAGAATCAATTTATCTGTGAGAACTCTACAAAATTCAATAAAAATAGAAGAGTAAATTGTATTTGTTCAGTTTCTAAACAAATATTTAATATGCCATTAATTTTGTTCTTGAGTTTTTGTTATATTTTTTTCCAGGACAGTTTCAATCCTGTCGGTCCTCCTCCTCCTCCCTTCTTAACTGCATTTAATGTGCCTGAAGGGAAAACGTTGGAAACATTGCACTAAGATTAAAAATACTCTGCAAGCAATAAGAGTTATATTTAGTGCTGGTGAAAGGTGGTGGATTCACAGTCCTGCCAGGTGAAATCATCTATTCAACCATGTAATTGCTACCGGACAAGCTTCCCTGCACTGCACCATGCAATAAGTCCTAAAAGGAGCTGGAGGAAACACTCCTGAGAGTTGAGATGGAAGGTTAGTCTTTGTTACAATTCACACCGAGCCTCTGTGCTGACACAATTAATGCCAAATGTGCTGGGAGTTTGTGTCGTGGAATTCGTCTACTACGTTCTAGAGTAAAAAACATCAAACTGTGTTATAAACAATCAGGTAATAACTTTTGGGGTGAAATCCTGATTGAAATCAATAGGATTGTTGCCATTGACTTCAATGGATCTGAATTTTGCCCTTGGTCTCTGTTGACCAGGGTTCAGAATTTAGCTAATGGACATAAACCACCAAATCTCCCCATATCTGTCTTTGGCTTTAATGAACACTACTTGTCTTTTGCACACGCAGCGAAAGCAGTTGTTGGTGTTCTGGCTGATGTTGTGCAGCACACAGGGAGAGGGTAGAAGGTTGTGGCGGTGCAGCGTCTAACCGAGACTGTGTTACAGAGGTTAAGAAAACAGCTTCCGCAATGCACCCCGCCTCCACCCCCCCTTCATTCTGTATACACGTGTGTTTGGGGAAACATGTTTTTTCAGACTTCTTAGCTGAGATTTTGCACATGCCCCCTGGCAGACATGCATCATTACTTTGTATGAGTTTTTTCAATGGAAAACACCACACTTCCAAGTTCTTTCGCATATACATTAACAATATGTGAAATAAGAGTCTCTATGAAGTTTGAATTACCTTATTGCTCGCAAGGAGCTACAGTATTAATGTTACTGCTCTCGATTTCATTTTTAAAAAGTGAGGCAAACAATTCAAATGTCTGCAGACTCAGCCTAATAAAAATGATAGATTACATGTCAGAGTTCCCACCTCCCCCTTTCTCTGATCTTCCATCCTCCCACTTCTGTTGTGTAAAAAGAAGTTATGCAATAGCTTGCTTGCTGTTGTCAGCTTTTGGTAATCACCAGCAGTTTCCTGTAGCTCAGGGATTACAGTATTTTGCTTGCATTCAGTGGGTGATGGAGTTTAAAAACCTGCACTGCCTCAGTAATTTAGCTCTTTATACTACATTATTGGGTTGCGGGTTTTTTGCCCATTTTCTTCTGCTCCAGTTGATTCCAATGTTATCATTGTGCTTTTCAACCAGCATGAACAGCACAGTGACTGACAAATGTGGAACTTGCAGAATAATGACATCAAGTGAAGGCAGTTTCAGATTGAGATCAGAGATTATAAATGGAATTCAAAATGGAGAACCAGCACAGTGGTCTTAACAACAGGAGATCAGACTTCCCATAACATTAGAACTATGGGTCACCAAGTGAAATTAATAGGTAGCAGATTTAAAATAAACAAAAGGAAATATTTCTTCAAGCAGCACAGAGTCAACCTGTGGAACTCCTTGCCAGAGTATGTTGTGAAAACCAGGACTTTAACTGGGTTCAAAAAAGAACTAGATATATTCATGGAGGTTAGGTTCATCAGTGGCTATTAGCCAGGATGGGTAGGAATGGTGTCCCTCGCCTCTGTTTGTCAAAGGCTGGAAATGGATGACAGGAGAGGGATCACTTGATGATTGCCTGTTCTGTTCATTCCCTGTGGGGCATCTGTCATTCGCTACTATCAGAAGACAGGATACTGGGCTAGATGGACCTTTGGTTTGACCAGCTATGGCCGTTCTTATGTTCTTATATTCTTATAACTAAATTAAAGTTGGGCATCTATTACTAGTTCTTTGCTAGAGAGTCTATATGATTTTTCCAAATATACCAATGGTTATAGATATGGTAAATGAAAATGAGTGAAATATCTTGCAAGAAAATCCCAGTGTAGGAAAAGACAGTGTTAAAAATATAACATATTAAAACTGATGAGCCAAATCCTGATCTTAGGAAGGCCAAGGGAAATTTTGCCATTGACTTCAGAGGAATCAGGTTTTGATCTGTTGGTCTGAAAGCACATTTTACCAAAGTGAGTAAATGTTATCCTTGGTTTGCAGGAAGGGAAATCCAAGTTTCAGAGATGCAGAATAGCGTCACTCGCTGGATCACAGCAGATGTCAATTGCAGAACTGCAAATAGAACTGACGTCATCTTCACTTCAGGCATCCTAGTCAGACCATATTTAACTATGTTTTGTCTTTTTTCTTTTGTCTTGATTAAAGTGTATAGAACTTTGAGCTATAGCTTTCTTATATAGTTCTTGCTCTTCTACCTCCTGTGAATAGCCATGATTCAGAAACTGATGTGTGCCTCATTTTCAGCTTAAAAATCTGGTTGGCCTTAAAGGTAAAAAGAGCAGCTTTTCATAATTGCTAATATCTTGGCCAAATTGTGACCAACTGCCATATTAAGCCGTAAATTTGTCTTTTGTTGATCTGTGTATCTGCTTTAAATATGAGCATCAGTCTCCTTAAGGATCTTCTGGCACTTGCATTTAATAAGGCAAAAAATAAAATGAGATCAAACAGAGATAGGGATTGCCATCCAGACAGTTTTTCAAGCTGCCAAGTCATTTTTGTGCAGCTTATCCAGTTGTTTTTATTTTAAATGTAAATTAAGACATCAGCAGTCCAGCCTTCCTGACTTTAGTCTGTTTCTTAGCCAAATGGCACTGTGTATGCGGACTGCTGATAGATGTCCTCTTCTAGAAGTCATACTGGATTGACAGTGCCAGAGCAAGTCCTCTATGTTAGCTGTGCAGGAGTAGACTCATGAAAACTCGTGCATTTGGCTGATGTTTCTTCCATCTCTTGTTTTTCTGTGCTCCCAAAGGTAGCATAAAGAAGAGTTGACAAGAAGAAGGTATAGGAAGAAGGCACATATATGATAAAGAATAAGGGGGAAAGAGAAGAAAAGGTAAGGATGAGAAAGAAATACAGAAAAGTGGCAGCCCTTCCTTTCAACTTTCGCTGAGCTTCTTGTTGTGTATTTGGCAAACCATAATAACCATAAATGGCAAGCTGTGTTTTTCTTTAATATGTCTGCACTTTCCATAACAAATATTATGCTTTGAATATAGGTGCTCCACATGTATGAGGCACTTTGGTCAGCAGTCATGGGGGCTATATATACTACATTTGTCTGTGCTGATGGCAAATACCAGTCGTTTAACCTTAACAGCCTGGTTTCTTGTACAGTTTGCTCATGTTGAGTAATAACATATTCTTCAAGAAAAAAACAATGAATGGTCTGGTAGCATGTTATAGACTAACAAAACATGTAGATGGTATCATCAGCTTTCGTGGGCACAGGCCACTTCTTCAGATGACTGGAGTTGGATTAGCATGTTGCTACACTTAATTTGCATAATTAATTAGGAGCAGTTTTTGCACAAGAGGTTTTTGCACAAAGGCCATTCTTCCTGAAAAAATGAGGAAGAACAGCTCTTGCACAAGAGGGGGATTTTGCGCAAAAAAGTGCTGTGTAGATGGCGCCTTTTTGCACAAAAACCTCTTGCGCAAAAATGGTTCCTAATTAATGATGCAAATGAAGCATGGCAGTAAGCTAATCTGTGCTTCATTTGCATAAGCTTTTGCGGAAGAGAGAAACTGTGTAGATGTAGCCCTAGTGTGGTTCACTGTCCTATGCAGTGGCACTTAGACCACAGCAGATAAAGAACAAGAGACCTCTACAGCATAGGCTGAGAGGCCGCTGGCTTTCAGCTTAAAGGGTAGAGGCTCCTATATTAAGCTTCAGAGGTTCCATATTCAAATCTGCCTGGTGGCGGTTACATAACCATTTAGTGAGTACTCAATGGGCCAAATCCTCAGCTGGTATAATTTGGCAGATCTCATCTGAAGTGAGGGAGCTATGCCAGTTTACACCAGCCAAGGATCTAATTCACTTTGAAGAATTGTGGTGGAATCTGACTAGCCCTAGAGGAAAGTGTGGGAGCCAGCTTTAGAGATACAGATTTGAGAGACATGGTGCAAGGCTACAGACCTACAACCCCTTAGGCCTCACTGTATACTGACAAATACATAGCTGGAAGCCAGTTGTGCTCCCCTCTATGTTAATATTGTTAAAACAGATTCACATTTATGAGAACGTGATTTGCATTTGGACTTTATGAAATACTTATAAATTGCTGTGTGCATTAATCTCACTTACAATATCTGGGTGCCATGTAATAAGGAAATATGCAGATGTTTGCTTTGTAACTGTGAAAGCGTTTGCTCTGAAACTGGATACCTCCACAATCAAGACAAGCATTACCAAGTGTGAAATATTTGTTTACCACAAGAGGTGTCATCTCCTACCCAGCAAAAGAGGATCCATAGACATCAGACTAGTCATAGTGGAACATCAGTGTACAAAAGACTTTGGTGATTTCTCTCCCCCATGCTCATGAAGAGAGATGTGCACATGGACATGTCTCATCACACACTTTGAACATTGGGAGAAAGGAATAAAAATCCCTGGCCAGAAGGAAATGTATCACTATTCTGCTTGAGATCTGGAGAGGACAAGATTTTTAAGCATAAGCAGGGGATCCTCAGCTGATGAATAGTGTTAGTCTCAGCTGATGAGTCTGTATTAGCCCTAACAGACATATAGGGCTTGTGCTTTAAAGTTGGTTCTCTTACTTTTTGGAACCTAAGAATGTAACTCTCGTGTGGAGATGTTTACTGGCTTTAAACTTGTAAATAACTCTAATTTCTTTTCCCTAGTTAATACATCTTTAGTTTGTTGCAGGGTTGGCTACAAGAGTTGTCTTTGGTGACATATCTATGGTAAAACTGACCTGGGGCACATGACTGGTCCTTTGGTACTTGACGTACTGTACTCCTACTTATTGTTGTGATTTCTGATGTAAGGGGGATTATCTATCACAAAGGCAAGCTTACCTGGGTGCAAGATAGACCAGAGTGTCAAGGAAACTGTCTGTGGCTCCATACTGAGGCTGTTATAGTGGTTCAGGAATTCACATTTGATACTTGGTTGGTGGAAGGTAATTATAGAACATAGAACCAGTGTGGGCTTGTGCCATAGTTTGTCTGTTGTAATCTTGGCCCCTTTGTGCACCACTCCAGACAGTTTGATGCCTGGGTAAAGAGGCCTTGCCCTTGGGCAACGTGGTAAGGAGGACAGTTCCTGTGATGACCAGTGGCGGATTTGGGGCAGGGCAAGTGGGGCGGCTGCCCCGGGCCCCGCGCTTGCAGAAGCCCCACGCATGTGCCGGGGCACCACAGCACTGCCCGGGGACCCACAGCACTCTCATCTGCCCCCTGGTGATGACAAAAGGGGCGAGATCTTGGGTTGGAGGGGTGGAACTGAGGCAGAAAGCACCCTGTGCTGCCTGAATTGTGCCATGGCACACCCTGCCTGCCCTTAGCTCTGCCCAGTGCATGCTGCATAGGGCTCCAGCGGTGATTTAAAGGGCCAGGACTCTGGCTGCCTCTGCTGCTGTGCCCTTTTAAATTGTCAGGCCCCTGAGCAGTTGCTCTCTTTGCCCTTCTAGTCAGTGGACCTGCACATCGTATGCAACTCTAGGGCAAAATCCTGGCTCCAAAGAAGGTTTTGCAATAGAGCAAGGATTTCTACTCAGATAAACTTTGGGGGCTGCAGTCCCAAATTTTTGAAATAAAGGAATGAACTACCATTAAACATCATTTAGTTTTTTTCACTTTAAGAAACTTTCTGTCCTTTCTGTCATCTTGTCTGAAATGGTGGCCTTTCTATTCTGCCTGATATTTCAGAGTGGCCTGGATTGGACTGAAGTTTGATGAAATAAAATAATTTGATTTCTGTGATCCTGTGACCCTCATGAAACTAGCATATGAGGTGCAAGCTGGAAGATACATCTTAAATAAATGTAGGGATAATGATAACTAGTGATGAAAACTAATCACAGGAAACTGGAAGTTGTATTTGCTCCTCAGTATGCATTGTCACACAAAATAAACAGGTTCTCCATAATGTACTTTGGATGATGCGATCACAGTGTAGAAACAGTGTTAGTATCTGCTAGTTGCCTTCAAAGTCTTCATAAAAGCTAATTTCTATTAGTTAGCCTTCAAGGACTGATCCCTGTTCTTCTACTCGTATCTTTAAAGACACGTCTGTCTCCTACTGTGATTATAACAATCAGTTATGAAAATACATCTTCTTTTTAAAGCCCATTTCTCTGATCCCGCATACATGCCCATGGAGGACTCAACAAGATGCTTGCACAGTGTGCAATGTGAAATCTCAATACCCCAAGAAGAGGCACAATGCATGGAGAATGTAATTTCTTCCATCCAGTAGGATGGAGCAGGGTGCTTTCTCTGGTGTTCTGAGGCCAGTACAGGGCTGTGTCAGGCAGGACAAAGCTATAACTTTTCCTTCTTCCTGCCTCCTTTACAGAACAAGCAGTCCCTTTGCTCTCTAGAGCGTGCAGCCTATATGCAGCCATGCAAGGGATGAAGTAACTCCTGGCTTGTTCTTCCACCCCGAGCATCCATGCAGCAGCTATTCTTTAGATGGTAATTTCTGCAAAGCAGGAACTTTAAGAACATAAGAACAGACATACTGGGCCAGACCAAAGGTTCACCTAGTCCAGTATCCTGTCTTCCAACAGTGACCAATATCAGGTGCCAGAGAGGGAATGAACAGAATAATTAACTGTCACGAGAGCCATTCTCTTCCTCGTTCCCAGCTTCTGCAAATAGACACTAAAGACACCATTCCTGCCCATCCTGGCTAATAGCCATGATGGACCTATTCTCCATGGATTTATCTAGTTCTTTTTTGAACCCAGTTGTAATCTTGAATTTCATACCATCCTCTGGCAAGAAGTTCCACAAATTGATTGTGTTGTGTGAAAAAATGCTTTTTTGTTTCTTTTTAAACCCACTGCCAATTAATTTCATTTTGTGATATGTAGCTCTTAAGTTATGAGGAGGAAATAGCACTTCCTTATCTATTTTTTATACCAGTCATGATTTTATAGCGCTCAATCTTATTGCCCCTTAGTTGTCTCTTTTCCAAGCTGAAAAAGTTCCAGTCTTATTAATCTCTCCTTATATGGAAGCAATTCCAGACTCCTAATAATTTTTGTTGCCCTTCTTTGAATCTTTTCCAATTCCAATGTATTTTTGAGATATGGCAACCACAGCTGCACGCAGTATTCAAGATGTGGGTGTACCATTAATTTATATAGAGACAATATGACATATTCCGTCTTATTATCTATCCCTTTTTAAATGAGTCTCAACATTCTGTTCATTTTTCTTGGCTGCTGCTACACATTGAATGGATGTTTTCAGCAAACTATTCACAATAATTCCAAGATCTCTTTTTTGAATGGTAACAGCTAATTTAGACCCCATCATTTTATATTTATGATTGGGATTATGTTTTTCAATGTGCATCACTTTGCATTTATCAACATTAAATTTTATCTGCCACTGTTGCCCAGTGACCCACTTTTGAGAGATTCTTACTCTTCACAGTCTGACTGAGACTTAACTACTTTAAATGTTGCCACATCACTATTTACTCCTTTTTCCAGATCATTGATGAATATGCTGAAAAGGACCGGTTTTAGTATAGACCTGGGGGGAGGGGGAGGGACACTGTTATTTACCTCTGTCCATTCTGAAAACTAACTATTTATACCTAAGAAGCTTCAGGGGGTAGCTGAGTTAGTCTCTTACAGAAAAACCCCCACAAATGGTCTGGTAGCATGCAGATGGTATCATGAGCTTTCATGGGCACAGCCCACTTCTTCAGATGACCGGAGTTTTGAGTTTAGGATGTGCAGACCTAAAATAAATAGAGGTATGTCTACACTACCCCGCTAGTTCGAACTAGCGGGGTAGTGTAGACATACCCATAGAGAGAAGGAGGTGAGGGGGA